GCAAGCTTCAGATGAAGAAGTGAATGATGTGTGCTCCCGGCGCCTATTTATACTATAGTCGCACCGGTAGTGACGTCATGGCTGTCGCCGGCCAACGAGTTGGTGTTTTTCAATGTATGCTTCAGACACGGGTCATGACGAGGCGTTCCCCATAGTGACCCCTAGAGGACGCAGTGTCTCGTTCCCTACTCAGGGAACCATGGTTACATAAGTAACCTGAGACGTTCTCTAATCTCAGTACTGTTTGTTTATGGGCAGGTTTTTGAGTCTCTTTCAGCTACGAGTGAAACGCGAGGCCGCGGTCTGAAGTTCGCAGTTCCCCGGCAAACTGTAAAGTGATTACAGAGAACGGTTGAATACACTTAAATTAAAATGCTACTTTTAAAAGTTACATTTTATGTTTCTAAAATGATCATTGAATGAATTTAAATGTATGTAATATTATAAATGATGCTGTATTCACCCAAATAAATGCAATTTGTCTTGTATTTTTTCAATGTGTTCTTGCTTAATAATAAATGTTTTTATTATAATCTTTTGATTATTGCTGTTGTCTCTAGTAATTATGTGTGTGATTGTTTTGTTTTTGTTTTTTTCCAGCCCATTTTAAGGCAGCAAATATGTGACCCTGGAGCACAAAACCAGTCTTAAGTAGCTGGGGTATATTTGTAGCAATAGCCAAAAATACATAGTATGGGTCAAAATTATTGATTTTTCTTTTATGCCAAAAATCATTAGGATATTAAGTAAAGATCATGTTCCATGAAGATATTTAGTACATTTCCTACTGTAAATATATTAAAACTTAATTTTTGATTAGTGATATGCATTGCTAAGAACTTCATTTGGACAACTTTAAAGGCGATTTTCTCAATATTTTGATTTTTTTGCACCCTCAGATTCCAGATTTTCAAATAGTTGTATCTCGGCCAGATATTGTCCTATCCTAACAAACCATACATCAATGGAAAGCTTAGTTATTCAGCTTTCAGATGGTGTATATGTCTCAATTTTGAAAAATTGACCCTTATGACTGGTTTTGTGGTCCAGGGTCACATATAATAACTTTTAAACAATAGTTGACAAATAAAATGTAATAAACTCTTAAATCACAAGAATTAAAGGAGACAGATAATTAAAAGTAAACAACTATTAGAGTAGATCATTTGAGCATCTTGTATGGGACATCGTCCAGTGGCCCTCCTACTACAGACCGCTGACAGCTTTAGGTTTTCTACAGTCAAACGCCGGCCTGTGTTTTGTCTGCTGGCATTGTCATGATGAAGGAAAATATAAATCTAACTTTAATAGTCAGCTATAGACATTTACTAGCAGAGTTGCGCAGGTAGAACCTCGTCCAAAGCAGGAAATAGAGACTGCTGCCAAGGCCTGTGATGAATGACATGACTACTGTACTGAGAGACATAGACTGATAGCAGAAAGCACGAGTCATTCCTTTGTTTTGCTTGAAAAAATCTTAACACTAAAACGGTTGAGAGTGAATATTGTCTGCCAGAATCTGCCCTTATATCACCAACTTTTCACAGCACTCTCAAAAGAAAAAGCCGTGAATTGCAGTAAAAACAGCGGAGCGGCTCTAGACTGTCTGTGGGTCATAAATCCTTCAGGAGAATGTTATGATCCCTGTGTGAAATTTTATGAATGTACAATTCCTGCTGGATCTGTTTGGAATATCCTCAGAGTAATCACTTCCATACATCCCATGTTAAACTGTATGCTGAGAGCACAGAGAAGGAAGGTTTATGACTAAAATGCAGACACATTTTATGTTGATAGATGCTGATATGTAAATGTGAATGTGATTTCTGAACATTTTAGACTCCATAGACGATCGTTTTGGACAGGCAAGGAATTTTTAGTGCATTTTTGAGTATGTCTACACAGCACATCAAACTACTCCTGTTTTTCTTTTTCCTTTATATGACCTTTAAAAAAGAAAAAGAAAAAGAAAAAGAGAGAGAAAGATGGGGGAATGGACTTCTATCTAGAACTACTCATCTATGCAAAGGTCAGGGCTGAAGTACTTTTACTATAGATGTCTCACAGATAAAAGTTGTACAAAAATGTTCAGAATGTAAAAAGACAGAAACGGAGACAGTGGGGGATAGAGCCTGTGTGTGTGTGTGTGTGTGTGTGTGTGTGTGTG